GGGCACATTGTCAAAAAGCACAGTGTTGTTGGTCCAATGAATGGAGGAGCGGTCAGGAAGCAGTGGCTGATTGCTGCCTCCCCTCAGAGGATAAGTGTGTTTTTGCCTTTGACTTGCCATCCCTCCAAGTTCAGAAGAGGAGTTGGAGGTAATGTAGGGCATCAGCAAGCTAAGATCCATAGGGCTGCCAGGGGCAAACACAGAGCACACACACAGCAGCAAGCAGCCCAGGTGGAGGCAGCTTGAGATGATTCCTGTGTTAACCAGGCCATAGGTCTTCCTGAGTCTGGTGAACATCACGGTGCCCATCAGCCCTGTGATAGCTGATACACCCATCAGTAGACTAAGGAGAGAGCCGCTTATACCCTGAGTGTAGGCATAGCCGGTGGTGATGCAGTCGAAGCCCAGTACGGTGGTGTAGAGGAAAGCCAGACCCATTCCTGCCAGGAAGACAGGCTGTCGATAGTAGGCCCTCCAACCGTCCTTACAGGTGCTCACCAACCAGCGAAACCTCCGGAAACACAGCGGCAGGTCTGTGATTTCTTTTAGGGGCAGGCTTATGTTGCAGTTGCCTTCTGTCAGAGGTTGAGGTTGTGCGACATTACCTTCCCCTGATGAGAAACAGGAATTGCATCCATCACTTCTGTCCATTAAATGAACAAGCCTCAGTTGGTGTTCTACACCCTTCACATCATCTGTCAAATACAGACCACCTATGCTAACATGGACTGTGACTGCTGGTGCTGAACACAAACTGAGGATTGTGTCAGATGCTTCACTGAAGCTTTGGAGCTTGATCATTTTTATTCTGTAATGACTTTAGTCCACTTAAAGTGATTGTAGAGAACTAAAAGAAATGACAGCACTCATTAAGCCCCGTTGTAGTTGATAGTTCCTGGCTAATTACAGTGTTTTTATAATTCAAGAAAGGCATCATATCACAATCTAGAGGACTGTAATGTAAAAAATGTTAATTACACATAATTTTTCTGATGTCATTTCAAAGAACTGCCGGGGTATTTAGAGTGAAATTGTAATCATTCCCTCAAGGTCCATGAAAATTGGTACAAATTGCACTAGATAGCACCTGTAATGATGTCCACCCATTAATCCTGCCATCAAAGCAAGTTTTCAAAATGAAATTGAAATTCAAAGTTCAAATTTGAGATGATGAATCTAGCTACTGTATGCCATCTCTACATCGCTAACATATTTTCACCTAAAGCAAGTTTATTTAAGTTTAGCCTGTTTTTATTTTGTATATTTATAAGGTCATTTAACATGTATAGGAATCCATGATGCTGTTGCCCTTTAAGCATATTTTCTCTAAATCCAGTTGCATTCTAATGTTAAAATCTAGGAATGCAGAAATGATTAACTCATACCTTGTGAACTTCTCCTCTCCATGCTCTGCAGATACACCTCATCCTCCTCCAATACTGGTGGTTTGATTGAAAGAGCAGGGACGATGCGGTACACCCGTGACAAGAAGAAGAACTCCACAATGAGAGACACAAGGTTCCAGCCCAGGATGAAGCCACAGCCAACTACATTGGAGGCCAGGGTCATGACCTGTCCCACTGCTAGTGGGGCCAGGATGTTAGTCACCTGATCTATCCGCCTCATGGTTGCATTCATTCCTTTTGTTAGGATCAAAGACACAGAGGTTAATGAGCTTCCACTGGAGGAGTTTTAGCAAGAGCAGAAAACGGAGCAGTACCTGATATTCTCTGTGATGCGAGCCCATGACAAACATGGAATACAAACGAACATTTGCATAAACAGAGAGCAAATCCCCTCACCAGCTAAGTGACCTCGGTTGTAGCCTGTGATAACCACTATCCAGTCCCTCTGAATGGCAATGGTCAGCGCTGTGCTTGCAAGGTTTGCCACATCTGCCAGGACGATCACCACCGTATAACAAACCACCTTGTGTGAGTTTTGCGATGCAACATGTTACTATGACAGCACAGAGTAGCCACAAGCTCAGAAGCAGAGACAACAGGGACACAGGACAGAGGGGACAACAGCAGCAATAACTCCTCTGTGTAACAGTCATGGTGAGTATCCTGTTTGCAGATCAACAAGGAATCAAGTTATGAAATGTAATTATTAGTCATATGTAGTGTGTACTCACAGTAAGCCATCCGTCCCAGATCTGCTCAATCCTTTGCTTATATGAGAACACCAACATGAGCACAATGCTACATACTGTCACTGAGATGTTCTGAATGAAAAGAGACGCATGTGCAACTAAAATAGGGGACAAAAAAAAAAAAGAAAAAATTTTTTTTAGACTCTTAGAACATTGATAATATATTCTGTAAAAAATGAATGCTAGCCTTGACAGATATGAGTCAGTGGCTGTAAACCTTGTGCCTTGAGTCCTGCTGGTGTTGAGTCTAGCTATCAAATCAGGGACTGATTTACGGGTGAATGCAATTTATCACCTGGTGAGATAGGAAACCAGCACACTTCTGTGCCCAAGATTGAAATCCACTGATCTCTATCACTGTTCTGTGATATACTGCATGCTAAAATGTTCAGACGTGTGTGTGAAATAGTCATGCATACCTTTATTTCTGGGATTGCGATCAACCCAGTCTCCAATCAAAGCCCCAAGTAGGAGCACTGACCCAGCCACTACCAATCCAAACACCGCAGTCAACAGCAGGTTACGGCCGTACAGCTCAATCAGGAACACAGAGATAGCAAAGTGCCACATGCGGTCACCCTGTTTAACACAACATAAATGTCATCATTATATGTTGCTTTGAAAGATGCTGTCTGTATGTTGTCACACAGTTTACAGTAAGTAGACTACCTTGCAGTTATTTAAGTTTCGATGTCTTATCTATTGCTCCAGGAATCTGTTTCTTCAGGAAATGATTCTTACCCACATTGACAATGCTCCACTGACATAGATGAGAAACTTGGGACCCTTGAGGTAGATAAGAGCTGAACCTTTACAAGGAAATGCATAAAAATCGAATAAGCACACATTATATTTGCTGCAAACACATTGCACCAATTCTAGTTGGATTTAAAGTTGAGTTCACCTGGCATACTCCGGGCTCTATTAGCTCGCGCATCCCTGATGTCGTCAGCCTCAAACTCGACCACAACCCCACCACACTGGGAGGCATCTGCTCGCTGGGACATCGCCTAGAGTAGGATGGTGGGTCCAAAAAACTGTTGAACTTGTCGCACTCTTGTTCCATTGTTGATAGTACAGTGTTAACAATACTGTAGGTCACAGCACTCACTCGCTGAGATATTTTGAAAGACAGTTTAGTTTAGGTTGTTCTACTAAGGTTACTTTGCTATTGATGACTTCAAGAGTGTTTATTCCACTTACAGGATTACTGGTTATTTACTTATAAGCAATTCTAGAACAACACCAAAGGTCAACACCGTTTATTTTTCTTAGCTGGCGACATAATGCAACAAAAGTTGAAACACCATGTCCTTTTGAACTCAACGTACCACTGTAACCTCCTTAGTGTGATTGCGACACCATAACTGTTTCACTTCATATTTAATTAGTTACATCATATTTTTTTTCAAATATAAAAGAGGCATAAATAATGGCTACAATGGGTCAATAGGTCAAGTTGTGAAGCAGGAAAAAAAAGAACAGAAACACCATATCAACAATAAGATTTTGTCAGGTATTTACAATACTGATAGTACCATTAGCATGACACCTTGCATAGCTCTATAAATGCAGTCTTAAACTGACAATGATTAAAACTCTCATAAGTCATTGCAGGGTCAATCGTCACCTTTGTTATGATGTTACACTCAATCCTCGCTGTTGTTCCTCGATGGTGTATCTTGTGCCATGTATCCTACATTGGGATGCTAGTCTTTCCTGAGAGCTGGAATTCAAGCTGTAGTAGTTTGAAAGGCTTAATAACATCACAGTGTTCAAGTGCACCATTGTATGAAAGTGCCAGAAAAGCAGAACAGGCAGAGGGACAACAAAGGCAGCCAGCATATTCCAAAGCACGTGACACCAGGGGGACAATATCACTGTCCACCCACACCACAAAAAAGGATAACAGTGTAACTCGTATGACTCAAAATACACACACACACACATGCGCATGGCAAGTGAGCACATGCATGCACCCTCACACACACACAAGCACAGTCCTACTACTCTCATACACCCACATGCACTGTTGACGTGGAGAAAAAAAAAAAAAAAAAAAAGTTACATAAAGGACACATTGTGCAACACTACATCACTCTTCACTCTTGCAAGTAACGTAGGGTAGAGAGCACATAACTATATTATAGCACACAAAAATCCGTTACCTAGGCAGTTGAGAATGTGACTTACAAGATGATGCATAGTATTAATAAATGTCGACGGTGATGACGTTGCCTGAACATACAAACGCAACTTTACTACAAGCACCCTCTCATGCGGCTTCGCTTGTACACATTGTACATGTGATATTTTTTTTGAAAACTAATAATGAGCTTATCGCAAACCATTCAGAAGAGTTATCCATCACTCTCCGCTTGTTCCCATTCAAAGCATCAACACAGGAAATTAACTGTTGTCTTCCTTTAATCAAATATCAACACAGATCTTATATTCTCTGTTCCAGCCTTTGGTAATAAGCAAATTTTTCTCAGGGATATTGTCCTTCATTGATTTCATCTGGCTGACTGTTTGCATTTCCTTCCCCAATATAAATACACTTGTGTAAATTAAGACAAAATTAATGTGTTTTCATTTAGCAAATATACTGATATTACAGCTGTTACTGCTAATACACTATAGTAGTGATAATGTAATTTAAACTGTAATGAAATTAGAAGCTTACAATACCACGCTATACAAAGATAGAAAAAAATAAAAATAATCAGTTTTTGTTTACCCTTTTCTTTCCAAATAAATATGTACAATAGGAAGTTATCCAATGACAAAATATCTCATAGTAGTCCTGACCACTAATCTAATAGAACAGCAAAAACAATTTCAGTTAAAATTCTCCATTACAGAATTCAATTGCGTATGGGTTTTGATTGTGCCTGTCCATGATGTACTTCTTCAGGAAACCGATGAATCTGTAGAGAGCCACAAGAGGAATGGACACGACAGGAAGGACAGATAGGAGCACACAGATAACAAAAACCCATTCAGGATAGTGCAGAACATCAGCGAGGGGGAAGTTCACCTGTGAAGGTAATGGAGTGGAAAGTCGATGTTTTTTTAGTTTTTTTTCACTTTGTGCCAGATTTAACAAATTCTATGCAGTGATGTTGTGGGACTGTAAAATCTTCCTTACGTAATCTGGGTTCCAGGCGCTATATGTCGGTCGTTTTTCTGCCTCAATCACAACGTATGCAACAAAAACCACGAGTAGCATGAAAGGGCTGATGAAGCGCCAAGTAGCCTGCCAGTAGATGTTCGGCCTCCGACCTGTCATCCATTCAATGTCGTCATTAAACCTGTGGACGCATGGAAACTCATTGTCAAATCATTGTCAAATCGTTCAAATATCTTATAACCTTGCAAATATAATTGTGACATGAATTACAATATCACCTATTTATTCCATAGATGTAAACCACACTGATGATCTCAAAGAATGCTATGATGAGCAGAGGCATGGATCCCACGTAGCTGTTGAATATCTCCAGCCAGTAGTTTCCAGATCCCAGAGTAAAGATGAGAGCCACAGTAAAGGATATGAGACATATTAACCCTATGAGCAAAAAAGCAAAATAGAAGAAATAGAAGTTTATGATATTGTTTTATTCCATGATAATTAATATGCTGAAGACAATATTATAATATGGAGACCATTAAACAATCTATCCCAATGAAAGTAATTTGAAATTTGAAAGAGTAGTGTGCTGCTTGGACACATATTGGCATCCTATGAGAGAATATATTATGATGTAGCAGATGATAATCAACTATTTAATTTCAAGAGGACTTAATTTCACATGGAAAGAATTAATGCAAGAATTGCATATTTTAGGGTTAATGTTTCCAAAATTCAACAGCAGCTGGGCTTTATACAGTACATGAGACTTTTGTGTAAGAGTGTCATAATTACTGTAATGTCATAACACAATACAAACTAGTCTTTCATATGAAGTTATTAGATCTTTCTATTTACCTGTGAAAATCTCCTTAGGAAGCCAGGGTGGAACCATGTGCAGGTCCAGCAGAGGAGTGAGGACCCCCTCTAGATTTCCAAACATGGAGGACAGGCCCAGGCTGAAGAGCATTACAAAGAACAGCACCGCCCATACCTGAGAGCCTGGCATTCTTATCACCGCCTCAGTGAACACAATGAAGGCCAGTCCAGTTCCAGAAGCGCTCTACAGGTAGGATGCGATAAATAATCTCATACACAACCTCATAAAACCTTGTTTAGAAAACTGTCATCAAAACTATTTTAATACTAACGGTACAATACCTGGTCAAGGAAAGTCTGAAGATTGCAGGTTTTTAGACTGAGGCTTTCGACCTCTGACGGATCAGTTCCATTGAGATAGTTTAACCAGTGATCATAGTTTTCAAGAGTTATGTTTTCATCCCCAATGTTAAATGCATTTGTCAGTCTTAGTATGTTCCTAAAATAAACAAGACATTAAATCAGCCTGTTAATATTACTGTTAAAACTTAAAATAAAATAAAATTTTGACTGATACTGTAGTGGTGTATATAGTAGTATAGTTAACATGGTTACATTGCTTTGCAGTCTTCTAATGACATAACTGTCAGTTGCACATTTATTAATAATAAGGTATAATTATGGAGCTGAATATACTTTACTATGACACACCATAATTACCCCAATGGTACATACCAATTTCGGCAATCGTTGTAGTTTTCATTTGCTTTAAATCCAAGAATGGCAAAAATAGGAATTGATGCATATATCGATGTAAAACTGTTCACACATCCAACAATTAGGGCATCTCTCTCACAATTATTCCTGCAAAGACAGAATACTTCCTCAATTTTAAAAAAAGATTCTCTGTATTATACAGTGGATGAAAACGGCTTCAAATGTTCTTACTTCTGAGCATTATAACTGGAAAAAGCAATAAGTCCCCCAAAGGCCAAAGACAAAGAGAAAAAGATCTGAGTAGCAGCATCCAACCAGACTTTAGGATTCTTCAGGGTTTCCCACTGTGATGAACATATTCATTTTTAGTTTGATTTCAGATTTTACTCATTACATGTTGTTATGAAATTATTTCAGTAAGAAGCTAAGAGCAAACTTACATTCGGAGTGAAGAGATATATTAAGCCATCACTTGCCCCAGACAGAGTCAAGGCTCTGACCAAGAAGATCGTCAGAACAAGATATGGAAAAGTGGCCGTGACGTAAATGGCCTGTTGAAAAAGTTTAGTATTTAATATCCACCTCATACACCTGTATTTCATGTGCAGGTTTTGGTAACATCAGCTGGTTACTTGTCAGTGTGCGGGTTATTTTGAAAGGTTGATGTGAAGAATCTTAATGTTGGAGAAATTTTAAACGGCTCTAAACAGTTTTGAGTTGATGTCGCTTGTGTAGCTGTTCAACATGTTGAGCAGTTTCATTGGTGGAGTCCTGCAAAATTAGGATCCCTTTCATATTCATGTGTCTTTTAGCTCATGTCAATCTGTGTGAGGAAAGCCAGCTTTACTCTAATGATACCATAATTTTGCCATCAATTACTGGTATCTATTACTACTACTTTTTTTAACATTAAATCAAACTGATAACTTACTTTTCCTATGGTCTCAATTCCACGTATGAAGCAGATGTACACAAGGCACCAAGCAGATGCAAGACACAACACGAGCCACCACTGTAAGGACCCACTGGTCTCGATGTCTGGTGTTATGTTCAGTGTTTCATGATACCAAAAATAGTTCACTGGTGAGCTCTTTTCACATTCGGTTACATACCCTGTATCAAAGAGATTAGATTATTATATTGTGATTAATTAATTGGACTGTCTTCTGTCTTTTATATCAGTTGTTATTAAGCATTCTAATTATTTGTGATGTAAAAATTACCAGTATGATTCAAGTTTATTGGGCAGTCCCTCCAGGGTAGTGGACTTTGAAAGGAGTGGAAGAAGTACCAGAGGATCCAGGCTAAGATCATGTTGTAGAACAGACCAACTAGGAAGGATACTGCCATGGAAGCCACACCTGTGTTTACACGTAGACACATAGATATTATCCAATAAAAGAAATTCATGTAGAGTAGAGATGGCAGTGATCTCAAGGCAGTCATGACTTTATGTTCTTCTGTTTATTCCCCCATTTTGGCATCTTGAATTTCTTAATGAATTCTAAAAAGGTTTAACACTCATTGATAATAAAGGTTCTCACCTAAACCTCCCAAATATGGGGATATTGAGTTCCAGACTCCAACACTTCCCATGCGGAGCCGTTGTCCGATGGCCAGCTCCATGTGCAACAGAGGAAGTCCCTCAAACACCAAGGCAATGACATAAGGAATCAGAAACGCCCCTTGAAATAAAAGAAATGTAAAAGTAAAAATAAATTAAACAATAAACATGACTTTGTCAGTGCGCAATTGACTTCACCTTCCAAAAAAAAAAAAAAAAAGCCATCAGCATTTCCGTTAAGGTCATTCATTTTCTGATTACTGGACATTATATTATCAACAGTCAATGGAAAAATAAACATGCAAGATGAGATTATTCAAGTCATTTTGCATATCAAAAAGAAAAGGAAAGAAAGCAAAAACAAGATGACTCAATGATAAAGACATCAACAGTCATATAAAAACATTAGTAAATATATGTTGTTATGATGTTTACATTTGACTGCTAATGTAACAGTAAGTTACAGATGTACACAGAGTGGGAAGTAATTGGAAAGAAATTATAAGAATTCATAAATATAATTTGAAGGTTTATCTAAAAATGTTTTATAGTCAAAATCATATTTCTTCATTTTCAGTTAGAAACATCTATTTTGTAAAAGAAAAACAAACAAGATAATTACAGCATGAAGATCAGGCTGTCATATCCGAACAGTCAGTGTGTGTGTTTGTGTATACAACTGATTGCTAGTATTGTGGGAACATATTAGACAGTTACCCTGGTGAGGATGGTTGTTTACATAAATTTTTTTTTTTTTTTTTTTTTTTTAAAGTTTGTATTTTCATAACTTAAGGGAATAAAAATGATAGCAAAAGATAATTCAGTTTTAGGTAGCAGCATTTAAGAGCAGTTTTTCCACAGTTCCCCATTTTGTCAAAGAGCATTTGGTTAATTGACTGTAAAATATTTCTTGACATGGAAAACCAAGTGAAAAGCCAGCTCTTTACCAGACTGTCCGAATTTACTTTTTGTGGTAACATTACAAAGCAAGAAATTAAATTCTCTTACCTCCACCATAGATCTGACACAAATATGGAAATCTCCACACATTACCAAGTCCCACAGCAAAACCTATGCAGGTTAACAAATATTGAACTTTATTGTCCCACTTTGGCCTTTCATTCATCTCATCCTCCTCAGCACTTCCAGTTTCTGTCTCCATCTCTTGTTTCTCCTTTGTCATTTTGGTATATTCTATGAGGCTAGCCCAAATCTTTTTTGTGTCTTGACTTTTCCCTCGGTCGAAAGAGAACCTGCTGACTCCTCACCTGTTTGTATCAGGAGACGGGGGGGGTGACGTTTGCTTTATCAGCCTTGTATTTCTTGCTGGCTGGTGAAGCTGTGGGAACAATGTGGCTTGTTTGTTTAATAAAAAGCCCTTGTATAAAGCGGCATGATATCACGCTGATAACAGAGGCAGTTGATTGTAATACAAAGCGGCATAAATAAGGAACCCAGGGAGTGAAAGTGTGATAGTGCACATGCCGTATTAATTTGATACAGTTTACATTACTGATATTTGCACACAGTCTGAGTTATTTCAGTCGACAGTAATAATCAAACTCTGTTTACACTGCATTTAAAAACATTGTGGAATTCCTTATCAGAAGCAGTCTCAAAAAAGACTTATGTATCATATTCATCAGACACATCTATTATTCCTCACTGAAAATCAGAAAACACAGAGTAGAGTCATAAGGGACACTTAGTGTGATTCACTTTACAAATTAGAGGTGAATGCAGAAATACAGGGAATTTAAAAAAAAAAAAAAAAAAAAAAAAAAAAAAACGATGTGCATTTGATTTAATCAATATTTAACTCACTTCTGAAACAGTCCACACTGTTAACATGTCACAACAGTGACTCCAGCTGGACAGAAAGGTACACTGTCATTACATAGCTTCAGGTCCAGCTCCCCCAGTCTCAAAATCGAGTTGTCTGATCACATGATGGTACACTATAGCTCATATAATACAAAACCCTAGTAAAGAATCCACCCTCAACAGAACTCTGCTGTAGAAATGAAAACGCTAGATTTGCCATTAATCAGTTCCCTGCAGTAATTAGACAAAAAATACAAACTTGTTTTTTCGAAATATACACATTTACCAAAGTCACATCCAGAGTTATTGGGTCCAGGTTACACATTATAATAGCCATTAAAAACATAAGCATTAAAATTTTCATGACACTTCAGAGAGGTGTTATCTTCATTCCATTATATTGTTTTTATGACGTTTTTAGCCATGCAAGCAGCATTCCTTTAGCTTTGCACATACTCTTTATGACAGGTGCAACAGGATCTTACAGAGAGCCTTATCACTACTTGACAAAGAAATTACAGCAGAGTAAGCCAATAAGCTACTGTTGTGGAAGGAGTCTTTTATCAAACAGGAAAACAGACCAACTTTAAAGCAAAGGGGAAATGTTATGTCTTTTGAATTTTCCAGCTTTTCACTGCTAAGAAATAAGAGCTTTGCATATTCCCACAGGTGGCTGAAGAAACAGGGAGTTCTGTTTGAAGAAAACTCTGCCTACTATTTTAAAATTGCGTAGATAAAACTATATCAGTTATTTGAATTTTACCAAAGAAAATTAGGCTACGGATTTGTTCATTTGAATTTGGTCTGAGATATTGTAGAGGTGTGACTTGTCACTCTTCTTTGTCTTAATACATTTCCAGAGCGCAACAAAAGGTACAGCAATACTCGGTATTCCTGCCAATATGAAGATGATCACATAGATCCAGACTGGATATGGCTTTTCCTCAAGTGTAGGAAATTTCTCCTACAAAGAGGGAGAGAAAATTGTATTTTTTTGAGTTTTTTTTATAGTACAGGACATCGTGTTTTATATTATCCATATCCATAATTCATAAATATAAATTGAATAAATTCATATTTACCGATTCAGGATCCCACGCTTTGTAAAAGACCTTTTCAGAAACTTTAGTCACGAGGTAAAAGACCAAGATGAAAAGCATAATGAGCGGGCTGATGACTCTCCATGTTGCCTGCCAGAAGAAGTTGGGTTTGTGTCCAATCATGAACTTTATATCGTCATTGAACCTAGGAGGACAGTGACACACATACTGGGGTTGAGCAATTAATTGAAATATTATCTAAATTGCAATATGGCCATGTGCAATAACCAATTTGCAGGAGCTGCAATTTTTTGATAAAGGTAAAATGTGTCACCGCATACCATAAAAATGATAAGATAACATGCATGTTTGATACAGACCCCAGCAAAAATCATTCATTCAATCATTTTTTTCCACAAAAATTAAAATGACCATTCCAACTAAAATTGTGACTCATATTGCAATCGCAGTGGCTGTCAAACGATCTCAATATGACTTTTTTTTTTTTTTTTTTTGTGCATATCGTTCAGCCCTTCCACATATTGCATTGGCAAGAATATGTAGACAAATAAGAAAAACACACAAGCTTCTGTTAGTAAAGGTGGTGCAATAATGTGCTATGCTTTTGATTCCATGATATATTATTTTCCTCTTATCCCTTAACTGGAAAAATCAATACCAAGTGATTATATGATATTGCCAGATTGAGTATGCTCAAAAAAGGTAATTCGGTTAGTCAGTAGTAGTTAAGATAAAAAGAAAAATAATTGACCCTAATCTAAGCATACAAGCAACAACGGGGTAGAACTATCAAAACTATTCCTATAATGTTCACATCCTGCAGATAATAAATCATGACAAGTTTGTCAACACTGGCTTTCATTGTGTTATAGCTCACAACTTAAATTTGTTAGTTTTCTTAGGGACTTCATTTTCCCCAGGATGGAAAACTGTCCTTGACTTCGCCACCACACAGTATTAAAAACAACACTAGACATTAAGAACATGATTTTAAAAGATATTAAAGAGTTTACAAAACAGTAAACAGTTTTTGTGTTTTAATATTACCTGTCTATCCCATATATGTAAACCACTGTGACCATTTCGCAGAAAGCTACAACTAGCAAAGGGATGGATCCTCCATAGGTGTCAAAGAGTGAAAGCCAATAGGTCCCTGAGCCTTGGAGAAATATTAGACCCACCAGACAGCAGAGCATGCACGTTACACCTGAAGGAGAGCAAAGAATTGACTAAATGTACTCGAACACCTTGTTAATTGAAAATGAGAGAACAGATGTGGATTTACCAGTGATAGCCTCTTTTGGCCATGTCTTAGGGAAAACTTTGAGGTCTTGCAGTGGCACTAGAACTCCCTCGATGTTACCAAACATAGATGACAGGCCAAGACAGAAGAGCATTATGAAGAAAAGGACGGCCCACACTGGTGAGAGGGGCATCTTGGTGATAGCCTCAGTGAACACAATGAAGGCTAAACCAGTTCCCTCAACTCCCTAGGCCGAAACACAGCACAGCGTTATAGTATAGAGAATTATATGCATCATTTATTTTACACTAAAATTGAAGCTGCTGCATTGGTGCATAAATAATCTTACTCAGATCTGCTGAAATCTTACCTCACTGAGAAAAGTATTCAAGTTGCAGGTTTTCAGATCCAGTCCTTGAATAACCTCAGGGTGTGTTTCATTGAGACGTTGAACAACCTGATTATAGTTGCTGTCAGTGATATCTCCCTCCGCAAGGTCAAACACATTTAGTAGTGCTATGATGTTTCTGAAAGCCAAAATTCATTAGGTTGAAGAGGTTTTCACAGTTGACTTATTGCTCAGGAAGGAAAAAATGCTGTTCGGCAAAAAAAGACATAATGTACCCAGAAAGACAGTTGTCAAATCTCTCTGTTGCTCTGAAGCCGATAATGGTGTAAATGACAGTTGCAGCGTAGACGGAGGTGATGCCGTTGATGATAGAGATGGTCACTGCATCCTGTTCACAGTTGTTACTAAAGGAAAAAACGTTATGTTTATTTAGAGTACCGTACATAAACCCTGTAACTTTAAATGACACAGGCGTAATAAACAAGTTGACACACTTACTGCACTGAGTTGTAGCTGGAGAAGGAAATGAGACCACCAAAAGCCAGAGAGAAGGAATAGAAAACCTGAGCACCCGCATCAAGCCATGTTGATGGCTTTGCCAGCTCTGTTAACTGGAATAGTTAGTGTGTTAGAAAATTATGCAATTTTACTTTACCTCTCATGAGGAATTAGGGTTTATGGTATTTTTTAGATATAACAGATAACAACATCTATTATAAAATATATTTAAACAAATGGATAGTCAGTACATTCTTATTTGTAAAAATGCAACTTACATCTGGGGTGAAGAGAAACTTTATTCCATTCAAAGAGCCTTTCAGGGTCAGTCCCCTTATCAGAAATATTGTGAGCACCACATAGGGAAGGGTTGATGTCACATACACGGCCTTGGGAAAATAACATATTTACAAAATTATTGTTAAGATGAATTGAAAATTTTCTTTAACCTTGTAGGAAGAAATGTACTGTACCTTCCCAGTTGTCTCAATCCCACGAATGATGCAGATATAGAGCACAGACCATGCACAAATATGGCATAACAGTATCCACCACTGCAGCCCACCATCCTCTTCAATTGTGGGAGTTGTGTTCAGGGTCTCCCTGTACCAAAAATAATCCACTGGGGAGCTCCTTTCACACTCTGAGATAAATCCTAACAGAATTTAACGACAGTGTGTAACACTTAAGTTAAAATCAACAGTTTCTAAAATCACTTTTCTTTCTGAAGTACAACACAATTGTTGTAGTACTACCTGTTAAATTGGTATTCGTGGGACATTGGCTCCATGGCAGAGGCTCTTGAAAAGAGTTGAAGAAATACCACAAAATCCAGGCAATGATGGTGTTGTAGTAGAGACTGATTGTCAGAGATACACACATGGATGCAATACCTGCAAATTAATGTTATAAAAGTTTTTCTTTTAAGGCATCTTTCCACTAGTTGTAGCAGTCATTGTGCAAAACATTGCTTACCAATGCCAGTCAAATAAGGATGAATTGTAGCCCACACTCCCAAGCTTCCTCTTCTTAAACGTTGACCGATGGCAAACTCCAGATGCAGAAGTGGGATTCCTTCAAGGACCAGTAGGATCAGAAATGGTATCATAAATGCACCTGGAGGAAAAGCAAAGGAACTGTTAATATTGTCATTTTGACAATAAATCTGTCAGTTTTTGGCATTTTTCAATACATCCTCAACTGTTTTTGATCTCTAGAAAAAATCAGAGAAGTGAGTACAATTTCTTTTTTCTGAAGAGGAGACAGAGAGACTTCATATTCAACAGGAAATAGAAATAAATTTCATAACACATTGAGGTTAATCATGCAGGATACACATGAGCACGTGCAGAGATAAAGACAGTGAATGCCGCCAGGTTTATAGTGCAATGTACACTCCATTCAAGCTTTGCAGCACTTTACAAGGATTCCCTGACAGTCAGAGGGTATAAAGTTTCTTATCTGAACAGATCAGTTACAAGTCAGCTTTTTGAGTCTACACCGCTGAATGTGACTGTAGCTGCTTCTTATATCTACTGTTTAACAGATTTTACAAGGATGTAGTCATTGCTGCATCAGTGGTCTTGTGATACTGGTAATTAACTACCTAACTTCCTGTATTCTATAGATCTCATCAACACACTCAGTTATCCTCGTAGACAAATTAAGGGTAGTTTGCAAAAATTTAACACAAATAATCCAATGTAAAGACACACAATATTCTAGAGGAACTTTCTTGCTCTTCTTTTTTTCCTTTTTCTTTTTTTTTTTTTTAACAACAAGGCAAATCAAAATGTAATCCCAGTGGCAAGAGCAGGCAAACACATTAGTATACTCTTAATACTTCTGTACTCTTCTACAAGGTCTGGATTGGACATAATGATGTATGAACTATTTTTCTTCTGCTTAAGCAGTGTTATTGAAAATAATCAAATATGGAATAAGTGCATGAAACCATCACTTGCCTCCTCCATGACTCTGACACAGATAGGGGAAGCGCCAGACATTTCCGAGTCCCACACAAAACCCCACACAGGTCAGCATGTACTGGGCCTTGTTGTCCCATTTTGGTCCGTCTCCAGCCTCTTCCTCCTCCAGCTTGTCCAGCTGTTGATGGGACAATATCCTGTCCTCCAGGCCCGGATTGGGGAGTTGCAGCTTCATGATCTGTCAAACACTGTAGGATTGTAGTGATACAATAGTGCACTGTACAGTGTTGGAATGTAAATTGTAGCTCACACTGCGAGATGTACTGTAACTCTGTAATAGATTGACGAGGTTGTGGTGTCAGAGAGCATCGTTTGGAGGTGTGCAGCCTGAGCAGAGCAAGAACACTCATGACAGTTAACTGGTGTCTTATCATGGGGAGGGGTCAGTGCGCAACGGTCACCAAACTTGACTTACATTTTTTATTGGATTTATTGCATGGTAACACCCTTAAGAGTCAGTTCATCCAGTTCATCATCTACAGTTAGTGTAGAGTATGTAATGTAGAGTTGGGTATCAAAGCTCAATAATTTTATGATAAAAGAGAGAATTTTGTTTGTTATAGTGACAAAAACTCAGGAATGATTGAGTAAAGTAGTATTGAAAAAGGTCAAACACCTGTCCCTATTCTAGCCATACAGATAGTTTTATTTGCCCAAATTTTGAGTTATCCGTCTCTGTGATTGATATCTAGTTATGTGTATATGTATCTGTCAACAACTATAACTTCTCCTATGAAGAATCAGTAACCAGTGTATGAAGGGTTAATGGACGACTGGAAACACAGTAGACGGTAACATAGCTGTAGTGATATTATAAAATAAGAAATGAACAAATCACATGTACAAATCATTCACAGATAGGTTTTAAACTGTTAAAAAATAAATGAAATGAACACATGTTCAAGGTTCACTCTTCAGCATAGAAATAGTAGTCTTAGCCCATTACATCAAGGTGTATTACAGTGTGTTATAAATCATTTATTGTCTATATACTGCTTAAATGCTAGAGGGGGTTCTGTTCTCCAGCTGTCTGTCATCTGTTTTTCGGCTATCTATCTATACTAGCTCAATTTGTCTATCTACCATCTACTGTATCTATCTAAGGTGTTTTTGCTGGTGTGTGCGTTGCTTGAGACACTGCAAGCTTCAGTGCAGTGCAGTTTTCTGTACTTCTCACTTTCACCACTGGAGGCCGCCGTTGCGCCTGTAATATGAGCTGTGTCGACCGGCTGAGGTCTGGCTGCTGTGTCCCCCTGGCAGAGTTTGTGCTTGAGGAGGGAGCCGCTTCCCATCGCTCTCACAGACCAGGCGCCAAGTGTAGCAGTCCCGTCCGCAGTCTGCCTCAGCACCTCAACCGCCCGCAATGCCCTTGGATACTGCCGCCCCGTTCATTTCCACACCGCTCTGACTAACCGTATCTCTTGAAGGGAGGTATCCTGGATCGTTACTTTTGGGACTCTTGTGTACACTGTCCTGCGTCCTCTGAGCTGCGTGAAGCGAATGGAGAAGGTCCAAGGATAACAGAGGGTGCAGGATTTTGCTACTGCAGAAGACCTGCCGGTAGTTCTCTGGCCGGGGGGGAGGGGGGGAGGGGGGTTTTGCGCGTCTGTCACAGGCTGTGGTGTCGCATCCACTATTTTGATCATCCAAAATAGCCTTGCATGGATACATCATGGCTACGTTTATATGCAGGGTACAGTTCTTAGATGATACTGATCCATTTAACAGCACCAATTTCCCTGAGCCCACCAGACCACCTCTCTACACGTTCAGGGAAGATATTCCTCTGATAAATCAGATTGCTGGAGTCCACCGGCTGCTAAAAGCCCCACAGAAGGTATGCAGTACTCTCTAGTCTCTTGATTTTGCTTTGGTTCACATTTCTTTAAATGGGTCTCATGAGGAGTCCACACCTAGAAAATTCTAAATTAATAATTAGCTTGAACATGTTGATGGGGTTACTAGCAAACAAACCTAATGGACCAATGATTGAGTCAGTGTGAAGGGGTTTGCTGATAGGCTGTGGGATGCTGATGCAGCATCAACATATCTGTTAAACAATTATTGCATGCACAATGTCAGTATATTAGGCCTATAATAGGAAATTATAGAATATTTGGTGGCTTTAGGTGATATTGGGCTGAAGTAGGCACCCATTATTTGACTGAGGGGAGGCAGGCATCTGTTAATGTTTACCTAAACCACAACACTAATCCCCTTTCTGTTGAACCTGCTTTTCTTACTATTCATTATGTCCACTTTGGGAGACCTTTCAAAATCTGGAAAGGTTTTGTTATTTTGTGTAAGAGAAAAGAAGCGAGCAAATAAGGGAACAGAGAATGTGGATGTGGTACACTGAATATATTATTAATGATCGCTTTACTTCTTGTTTTACTTCTACTCTGAAAAATGTAACCTTTCCTCACTTTCTTCTTGTCTTAACTATGAAATAGCTGAAGGAAAAGAAAAAAAAACTTAATGGAAAAGTAGCCTGCTTTGCATTTGTAGTATCATGAATGGGAAGGCATTAAATCTATGTAGGAAAGCACTTCTGCTATTATCACTACACAGCCCCAATTAGAGTAGGTGGGAGCAAATGGCCAGTTGGGCAGTTATTGAGAGATGGAAGAGGGTAATTCCTGACCTGGATTGTCCTAGATCTGGGGATTTAAATTAGAAACCATCTGATCTCAACACAACTTCTGAATCATGTGTATCCAAACTGTCACAGCATATTTTTTATTGTTTTGCATATTTTTGTATTTTGACCATTAACCATTTTGGTATATTCAGCTATTACCTTGGTCAAAAGCAAAATACATCTTTGCTGTGCATCCACATTGTTGTCTTCGGTCAGCTTCGTCACGTCCGTATATTTATTCCTAACGCTATGAGAAGGTGATACAGTACACATTGTTTTGGTTGCAAAAGTTTGCCTTCCCTGGATCCACAACTGCACAGCCAGTGTTAAGTAGCTCAAAATAACTGAGTGTTCTTCTTTGGTACGGCTTAATTTCCCTGTTTAAGTTTCCCCCAAAGAAAGCCAGTGACAAATAATGGAAACGTAAAGCCCATTTTCTATTTTTTTTTTTCTTTTGTAGGCCTCTGAATGCTATATCTTGAGAAATGCTGGTTTCTCTCTTCTGATTAGACCATGTGTAATCAAACACATTTCCAAAAGGCCTCATCTACTGACCTTTCAATTTAAACAAAGCAAAGGGGCCACAGCATCTGAGGTTGAGTCTTTTATTGAGCATTCTTCTTAGTCTGGTCAGGAAGTCGCGTAAATAGAAAGTTAATTTGGGTCTTTCTTCATTCTGTCAGATCAGTGGTACTCCATCTTGTTTGAGTAGAGCTGGTAAGATAAGTCATGGAAGCCTCAGGATGCTGTGGATCACCACAAGCCTGGCTCTCATTCTGCAGCCCACTCAGCCTGACCAGCAGGATGGGATGGGAACGCTTTCCACTGTTTGAGAGAGGAGAGGGAAGCGGGTAGAATTAAAAACACAAACAAAGAGCTGATGTACTTTGCACAGTCGACTGGTCTCAGTTTAGCAGTGGGCCAGCTGGACCACAAACTAGACAGAGAGGGAGTACCACTGGTAGGCTCCGCAGCGCCTGGTTAGTGAGATTTGGTCACATGGACATTCGTGGTTAGCAATAACTTGAGGGAACAGAGCTTGTGCTTTTCATAAAGGAAAAAAAGAATAACAATCAGGTGGATGACAAGACTGTGTCACCACATTTGAGCAACAAGTTCTCTGATTGACACCTTCAAAAGTTTGAAGAAGGGACTTTGGTGTGACCCTATAAAGACCTTTGACAACAGACCTGTTGTCTTTGAGCTCTGTCTCTATGGTGCAGGTCATTCTGGTATAAATAGCACACTGCTAACACATGGTGCCGAGGGACTCAGAACAGCTTGCATATGCTGTATCCTGGGCTGTTCCTGTCAGTTTCAGTCTGCAGTCTCAAGAGTGTGTGTGTGTGTGTGTGTGTGTGTGTGTGGGTGTGTGTGTGTGTGTGTGGGTGTGTGTGTGTGTGTGTGAGAGAGAGAGAGAGATTGGGTTATACATGGGATGGCACCTGTCAGTTTTGAGCATTAAAGCCATAATGTAGGGTTTAAATTTGATAGCAATAAGAAGTCACACTATAGATCTGTTGTTGTGTAGCAACAACAGCTTTGTCAGGGCAGCAAGCCCACATCGAAATCATGTTTTCATCCCGTGGCCTTTTTGAAAATGCCATGCCACCATGTGTCGTCATACAGCACGTAATGTGTTATTGCAATAGTACTGGTGAATGTTCTGAAAGCTTGCATAAAAATTTAAACACTTCTCCCAAAATAGACCATTTGTGATAAAGAGAACAGCTGCAGCATCTTTTCTATTGCTACTGGAAAGTATAACTAGTCATCCACTACCTGACTCAGCCATTTGATTTTGTCATGAATAATACATTGTCCTTGTCAGATGACGTAATGTGCATGCTTTTCAAAATCTGTTGGAGTTATTCCAAATCTACAGTTTTTGTCAGCACAAATCAATAGATCAGTAAACCTTCATGTGCTTTCTCCTCTGTCAGTGCTTTATAGTTTGTGTCTCGGTGGCCTTGAGGCCTTGCATCAGTTTGCAAAGCAGAAATCAAGGGAGGGAAAATGTGGCTAAGTCTTGGAGAATGGACTCTCACTTTACCAATTTCAATTTTTGGGCCGGTTGTTTTCCTGCATTTTTTCTTAAGAAATTACAGAGTCCTATAATGAGAAGTTATGTTAAATGCTGTAAAATACAGGTTCCTCCTCCATGCCTGTCAGAGCTCCTTTGAATTCTTTTACACATTGTTATGCAGAGTTGAGGTTTTGCCGGTCTCTGCATTTTAGAGGGTTGTCTCAGCAGAGGGCTCCTTGCAGAAGAATGCAGCATCTGTGGACGGACTCATCCTCTACATGCTTGACAGGAATTTAAGATTACTGTTGTGGTTTCTCTTTCATGCATCAAGTGTGTTTTAATGTGTTTTCAATTACTTGCCTTCAGAGAAACACCGCAAATACCATCCTCACCTTTATCAAACAAACTTTAAGCTTTTAAAGTGGCTTGGTGTAATTCCTCTTGTTTGATTTGGAGTCCGGTGCAGTTTACAGGTTGGCTAACACGGGGTTAACATTTGCACAGAACTATGCACAAGAGTGTTGTTGTTCTTATTAGGTTATTATGAGTTTCAAATGTGCAAGTTGCACACAGTATATGCTATCTCATTCCAGATGTCTTTCCCTTGTGGAAGACAAAGACATTTGGAGTGAGATAGCAGTTTTAAATTGGAAATTGCATGGTGTTTATTTTTAGTCCTTTCTGCCTTAACTGCCTGCCTGGTCAGTGGACCACAGTATGGTGGTTGAAGGGAGAGGCCAGACCTCAGTGTGTGAGCAGAGCACTTGTGGTTACTTCTCTGGACTTGGCCATCACAGGGCCACCGTGGGTTCAAGTCCTGGGCGGGGGACAGCTAAGGAAGCCTCTGCTACTGCTAATCTCGTAGCACTGTTCCTGGATTAAGGGCCATTTATGTACATCAACCTGGCCTGGTTATACATGGCAAAGACATGTAATCAGTAATCCAGGTTGATTATATAATGAGAACCTGAAGTGACACCGGTCAGAGGATGGATGTATTGATACATGGATGAAATAGATGTACAAATGGGAACTGATTAATAGACAGACTTTCACTTCACATAGACTTCACTCAGACTTTTCTGCCTGTTTTGCTTTTGGTCTGTGAGTCAAAGCCTTGTGTGGGGAAATGCATTTCTTGGTTTCACAGTTAGCTAATTACTAGTTACAGCTGGAAATTCAACCCAATGTTTTGTCTATTTCAGGTTGTGAAAGTAGCGTATAGCTGCTCTTTTATCCAATCCATGAACTTCAACACTGCTTAAAGTATAATTTAAAGAGCTATAAAATCTGCAGTGATTAAAAAAGAAAACAAAATAATGAACTGAACTCAAAGAATAAATCTGATTACTGTTCACAAATTGAACGATAAACGATAATTGTACCCAACGCTTTTGCGTTTGCAAAATTTTCTTGGGATTGTAAATGGTATATTTTCTGCTCGCAGAAGCAGCAACAGCATTTTATTTGGACTAAAAAGGGGAAAAAGAAGAAGAAGAAGTAATGCAGAGTTAAAATAAGCAGTGATGGCACTGTGAACACCTTAAAGAGACAAATATAGAAGGACTCTTCATTAAATTGACAAAGTGCATATTTTTGATTCAGACATTAGGCAGACTGCTGGTGGGAAGGTGGGGAAAAAACACAGACAGCCAGTGTAGAAATTTTTCCGTAGTTTAGTATGTCACAGGTTAGGTAGGTCCTAGCCATAGGTCAAAATATGTGATTTAGTGTGTCTTCTCCTTCATGCTACATTTCATATTACTGTGACACCCATTATTTCCAAAGGCATGTTGGTTCATAGGAATAGTTATGTCTGGATTCCCTGTCAGTCCAAAATCTGCGCTGTAATCTGGAGAAGCACTTGCTTCCCCCCTCTGTTTGTGTACAGTACAGCTTTGTTTGTTTGGCTTCTGCTCTGTCTACTTGTCTCCCTTTCTCTCTATCTCTGTCTCTTTCAATCTCCCAGTCTGCCTCACTGTAAGAACATCAACAACAACCTTAAATGAGACTTGTCACTGTCTTCGAAACAATAGGATTTCTTGAGCAATTAAAGTTTTTGTCTTATATTCACCACATTGGCCTCATGTATCTGTACAACTATTATATTACCAATAATCTTCTGGTTTACCATGCATGTAGAACAAACAAGGCATCTCAGAGAGAGAGAGAGAGAGATTTGGAGAGACAGTGAGAGTTATCCTAACCAACCACATGTTTCATTTCAGCTCTCAAATATGACACAGTCCTTGTGTGCTCTAGTGCAGTAATACAAACAGAGTGGCTGAACAGATCAAAGCCATCAGACCCATAATGTCTTTTCCAGCCTTTTTTTCCTCCACTTTCAATTAAGTCACTGTCATATGTCGGAGCAAATTGAACTGCATCAGCCCCGGCAATAATAATAATTTGATGAACATGTGATTTTAAAAGTAACATATATGTTTGCATGTATTGCACGTCTTTTAAGAGACAAAAAGTCTTGCAGGCTGCTGATTCTAGATGGGTAAATAGTAATAAATAGTAGTATATAGTAATCTTTGTTACCCTGCAAAGCACTCAAAGTGGGCTGGCGAGAAAAGACAAATTTATGGGCTTCAGTATATTTGTGGACTGTACAGTATGTTGTTGTTTTACACACCCTGACTGTTGATGGAGCAGAGCAGTGCCGCTTTCTCCACTTAAGTCATATGTTTGCCCTCCTGTAATGGTATTTGTTTTCCTGTCCTCTCCTTCACTGTTGGAGCCGTTGTCCTGGAGAGCTGACAGCCCCTGAATATAAATAGGTTAATATCTCCAATTTGGAGGTCAACCAGACAAGTGAACAGACACGCTCATTCTTCATCTCCTTGACCAGAGTCAGCTGATGACAACCATTCAAGACCAGACAAATCATACCTCCTCTGCAAAATCATCTCGTGTGATGATAGTTTATCGGACAAGGAGAGCAGGGAGATAAGAGGCACCAGACTGCCAAGCTGCTCCAAATCTGCATGACTTCTCTCCAACCTTGCACAGCTCGTCATTGTAGAGCGCTGACAGGAGTAGATAAAATAACTTTCTATGGTCCAGTGCGGACTAGACATAAACCTTAAAGGCACTGTGCATTTGGCCACTGACCCATAAAAAGAGCAACGTTGTTGTGTTTTGTAAACAACCAGGCCTCCAAATGGCCATAAACATCTCCTACTTACTCTCCGTTCAAGCATTCCTCGTACATGATGAGTGTTGTAGACTAACCAACGTTTTACTGTGTCTTCTCTTCGTTTAGCCCGATGACTGTGCCCTTCAGCTGTCCCATAATGGAAGCTACCTGGACTTGGAGTCTACCCTGGCAGAGCAGAGAGATGAGCTGGAGGGATTTCAGGAGGAAGGAGGGTAAGATAACCATCATCTGTGTCTCTGTTTCTCTCCGTGTCCTCACTATTGCCAAACTTTAAAAGCAATTACATGCACACAACATACTGAAATGAAAAAAAAAAAAAAAAAACAGTCTCCATTACTGCACTGAAGTTAAACAAATTGAAATAAATTTAGATACTTCCATAAAAAGTTGGTCGTATATTCTTTGAACATCAAAAGGTGCCGCTGGGATTGATGCCAGAGCAGCTGAAAACACAAAGGGGGACTGGCACTGTCTAGCAGGTGGATACTCTCTAGACCCCAGAAATAGTTTGTTCAAGTTGTTGTGGTCAAATTAGATGCAGTGACCCAGAAATAAAATTGTATTATTCAAGAGTAAGTGACTTGAAAGTTTTTGATTACAACAATCTGGCTTTTAAAAACACCCCAAACATTTTTCTGCTTTAACAAGTCAGACATAATCAGAACAATGTGATTACTGTTTTTGGAGAGAGAGAGAGAGAGAGAGAGACATATAAATCGCATAAAGATAAGAGGAAAAAGATACAGTCTTTAAATTCTCCGCCATGGGGATATGTATTAATATCCTGCATGCTATATTCCTTTGCCTAATTTGATTCTATTACAGCAATTTCAATCGTAATGACACCCATTTTGTTCCAGGATGAATTAGTGAAATAATCCCTTTTCCGGGCCTCAGCTGATTGAGCTCTCCTGCCCAAAGCCTCTCTCAGGAGGTGGTTTGGTCTGTTGAAGAGCAGAGGGGACGAGCTTTACCCCACCTGAGGGACTCTCCATTTCAAAAGCCTTTCAGAACTTTGGGAGTTTAGAGGAAAAAAGATAATATTAATATTATTGATTGAAAACCATATTCACTAATTTCGCTGTGAATCAGTCACCAAATGTCTCAACTCTTATCTCACTAAACCAGGATAGATTATTTTGATTGAAGTTTGATATGTTTTTATCAGTTGTATAGTCGTTTCCAAGCCCCTTTTTGTAACACACTAGATGTCTCACAGTTTCCTTGGCATTCATCCATCCACATCCCTTAAAATACCTGGCCTCCCTGGCCGAGCGGCAGCAGTGATGTCATCTAAACCACTTATGAAGTGTACACACGTCTCATGAGTAATCTCCCTCATCTCTGCTGAATGTTACCTCAGTGCTCTCATTAGAAGTGGCCAAACTACAATTGTACACTCCTACTATACAACCCTCAGCTTTTAATTTAGCTGTATTGTTTGCCCTGTAATATAAAGTTAATTGAGACTTTGTCTTGACATAACTCCTAGACCTGGATGAAGAAGAGAAAGGTTTATAATTGTGTTAGTTTCATTTCAGTTTCATACACTTTCTTAGGCCAGTTATTTTATTGACTCCATATGTTTTTTCATGTACTGTGGAGTATGTTGATATATCATTCATGTGCCGCCCACTTTAGATGATCACAAACCAAAGGTTGGCATGAGCGTTCCTGGTTGGCTGGACCACAAACTTGTATGGATTTATTTGTCTAACTTGGAATTCATAAGCTGCTCTCTGGCTTGGTGTTTCTATTGGACGTTGAGTGAGCTGTCCTTTCCCAGTTCCATCTGAAATTGTTAGGAGCTTATGGGAGGCTATTGAGAGCTGTGAGGTTAAAGTGGTCCACTTCTTCTCTCGTCGAAGAGCGAGCCTGCCAGGGCTTGTGCTGTGCCAGCTGGCACAGGCTGGTATGGATGTGTGTCATTAAACCCACACAGTGTTGTCTGAGGAGGCTGGAGGTGAAGGTGGTTAGCCAATTATTTTGTAAAAATAGGGCAGTTCTGCTCGCTGGCTTTTTAGGGTGCTGATTATATCCCCCAAATGCTCAGTCTTGTTGATTTGAAGATTATTGAGCTAATAAAAGGTCTGATGAGGCATTTCACCTTTACTTGTTCCATTTTATTTTTGTTTTCACTCTCCTTTTACTGCATAAGATCTGTCAACAGCCATCTCCAACTCCAAAACATTAAACCTACAGAAAATAATTCGTGTGATTCCCAGTTTTTTTCCCTGAATTTTACAAGTTGATGTCAAAGTAACACCCCAACACTAACTCTAGTTAACAAGCTTCAAAATGGTGCTTTCATTATTTTTGCTTTCAGCCCAGCCACCTTCCTTTTGGAAAAAGAATTGTACTAAACTCATATACTACCCGAGTGCCTGAGCTCTCCTGATCATTGGCCATTGAATCCATCTGTAATTGATATTAATGGCAGGTTACATTCCTGAGGCGCCTGTGTCATACCTAGTGTCTTTACAATCAGATTAAAGTATGATCCTCTGACAGAGCGCTGCAGAGCCAGGAGATATCCATGTCACAGGAGCTTAAGGGCCATAATCACTTCCACACTGTGTTATGAAGCTCAGCTATAGGAGATTGTGACTCATAAATCCCCTGTCCCATCTCTGATACAGTCTCCCTTCAAGTCATAAACTGACCATACACCCTAAACATGTGCTCAGACATATCTGCACAGTTTTAAGTATAGTCAGTGTGTCACTCAGGTTTCTGGCTGTGATAGATTGATTGACCCCATACACACAATTTCCTGCATTTGCAGCCCTAAGCCGAGATGGAGTATGGGGGGGGGGGGCATAGTCAGGATCAGATGGCCTGACATGTGCTTACAGACATTTATAGCCCTTGAATATTTTTGTGGATTACATGGATTGAAGAGTGGGAGCTCTTTTGGAGCATTTCAGGGGAATTTGGGTCTGATGTTGTTGGAAAAATGTTGTATTGAACTCATGTGAGGACTTATGTGTTGGGCGTGATGTTGTTTTTGCTCAAATATGTGACAGTGATTGGCAGATGATGCGTAAAGTTATTCTTCAAGGACATATTCCCTGGCTTGTCTTTAGAAGATAACGTGAATTGCTGTTATTGACTGACATAATTGATTCAGCATGTGAAATGTGTAGCTGCCACACAGCACTGAATAAGACACTTTCACTGAAATTTCACTGCCCTGTTATACACAATACACATCCATAAGCCAACAGTTTTTGTGCTGAACATGCCTTTCTTAGTTTTATTGCGTGTTCTTGATGTGTTCGACAACAAGTTAGAAGTCAAGCATATTAAAAACCAACTGTTCTTGCTCTGTAGGCCTCAAATATTCAAAGTTTCTCATCATATCCTTTCATCTCCTGTTGGACAGCTCCGCTTTCATTATTTTCATTTTTTTCTGACCCACTTGGACATTGTGTCGTAGACTCTCACAGCACACAAGATTTTCATTTGAGGAGAAAAAGCGCATTTGAAAAGAACCAGAGGAATTGTCAAACACGGTACAGCTTAAACTTCAAGGAAGGAAATAAAACACCAGTTGTCCCCTCTGTGTTTGCAGAGCAGTTTAAGGGTATTATTAACAGAATAGAACAGCTTGCTGATTGTTCAGTATGTGTGTGTATTTGGTTGCGTGTGTGTGTGTGTGTGCGGATGTTTGGGTGTGAGACCTGGTCAATGGTTAGTGAAGCAGCCCCTCGGAGGGAAATCTACCCTGTGGATAGTCTTAGCCTCATTCTTCAGCCTCTTTACCCCACCTGGCTCACTCGGGCACTGCGGGTCCCTCCACACATACTGATGCAGGAGTCTCTTGAGCTGGGGTGCTCACCAGTAAGTGCTGAGTCAGTAGGCCTCTGTGGGGCCTTATTGTCTGGCATTAATTGGTCTTCAAGGGGAAGTACTGGCTTTACTGTAGTCCTGGTATGTGTGTTCACTCTCTGTGGGTACACATTTTGTGTTGTTTTATAAACAGGGCCAGTAATGCTGCCTTAGATAAAGCCTGAGAGGATGGAGCTGGCAGGCTTCCACTGGTCCAGTTGCTGCTGCTCTGGGTATTAGGATTAAGACAGAGTTTTATGAGGGTGCTGTACAACAAAATAATGTGGGGTATATAATTGGCAGGTACAGTTGTAAAGTATCCACAGCTGCATTCCTGTATGTAACATTTGATAGGCAAAGTGTTGGTGATAAATATCAGATTCATACTATTGAGGTTTATTGTCCACTCCTCTCCATGTACAGACTGAATAAAAATGCCCATATGTTTTCATTTAATTTTTTTTATAAATGAATCTAATTTTGACCAGTTGCTTTGGCGAATGCTCAGGAAGTAAGATGTAAGTAAGATGTAATTGTTTTAGGTAATGGTCAAGTTCATTCATTTCACGATATTATTAAAAAATAGTCATAGTTATTCAAATGATAGCAACAGAGGTATTTCAGAGGCATGATGTTTCACATGATGAATCAGATTTAATAGAAGCTTGGTTGAAGTTAATTATACAGTACCACCACTGTGGAAGAAACCACAACATTCTGGCACAGAAATACACAAGACCAAAAGAGGACCAAGGAATCCAGTAGGTATTATATCCCAATATGTGGCCAATTTGTTATTTGGCTGACATTCTTTACAGTTATGGTTATTTCTATAACTTTGGGCTCCACCTTCAGCACTGTCTGTGGGAGTGTCCAATTTTCACGTTTAATTGGTCAGGGGGGGTCTGAAAACCTCACTTATATTCCTTGCACGTTTGTTTAATTTGATAATGAGCACGTTGGCCTGCATAGCCTCAGGTCTCGGTTAAGCACAGGGATACTGTTGCAGCGAAGCAGAGAGAAAGCAGACGTTCGTGACAAAATGGCTCTGGTTTCCCATTTGCCTCAACAGCATCACAGAGGATTAAGTTCCTGCTTGCCGTCTCATCTCACCACTGAAGGTCCATGATGACAGATGTTGCTCCTGTGTCACCTCTGCTTGTTGCTGGATATTATATATTTGATAAGGAGTGAGCATATACAGACTTCCCCCGCCATGTAATCTGCTTGTGTGCATGTCAGCGCAGTCTCCCACTGACTGGTCGGGGCAGGAAAGATGTCAGTATGTCTGTCTGTCTGTCTGTCCGTCTGCATGTGTGAAGCAGTTATGTAGTAATGCTGCTTGTTTATGGTGAGGCAGTAGTATGATCTGCCTTCTGTGCTGATAGGCTTTTACTCTCTCTGTCAGACCCACTGCTGCCTGATTGTCACTGACAGTGACAGTCTGTTGCTGGCGCTGCGCCAGTCTGAACAATCACACAGCCTTTGTGCAGGCGGCATAAAAGCCCATTTGTCAGAGAGCTGAATTGGGGGGGTGTTGTGCAACTCTACCTGCTGAGCTCTTGTTCACAGTTGTGTCTACTGGGGTTGTTTGTATGCTTCTTTAGCTAGCAGGGAGGTTAAAGGCACAATCTGTGAGTCCAATTGTAAACAAATGGGTGGCCCCAGCACCAAAACTCAAAGCACTGGATTGAAATGTGCTTTCTCTGTCAAATGAATTGAGATGACATTAAAAAAAAAAAAAAAAAAAAAACTAAATCAGAGTCATTATTCTTTCCTAATGTTGTTATAGGTTTGTTTACTTTTTGGGATGTAAACACGGGCAGAGATGTTTAATTATGACTGGCTGATAAACACTTGGCTGATTCCTGCCTATTAAAAACACATCAGTGAGTCACACTCGCACTAGATGACTTGGTTCTTCTATACCATGAACATGAACAGTGTAGTTTATTTTGGGTCAGTCCCACATACACTGCTCTACTGATGTAAATACCCATTTGTTGGTTTTGGTTTTTTTTATAGGATTTGTTGACACTACTTGCCGTATCCTTTAAAACAGCAAATTTTACAGACTTCAGACTTAATAAACATTACAGACTGGCCTTCTAAAAAGGCAAATTATCCTTTGTATGGCTACAAACTACACACCACTCTCACATTCACTTTCACAATTGAATGGAATTGAGGTGCATTGTTGCCGTCTTTGTTTGAGATTGTCATTCAGACATTGTAAGCAGTTGACAGGATGGTGATAGGGTCTTGGCATATCTCCATTAATACAGGAGGCGGAGTTGACCTCTGACTTGCTCCCATCCTTCATTTTCACCTACGGAGACCTTTTCCCCCCGTTCTGCTCAGCGACCTGTTCCTTGTTGTGCTCAAACCGCAAATATTGAAGGTTTTCTAGATGAGAATGAAAGGTATAATTTGTTGAAACAGAATTTAGCTTGAAGATCATTTTGCACCTTTGCACAGTAGCCATTCAGCTACATTTTCTTGTCAGCACTTGTCTGCCTCTGGCAGATTGATGGCTGCCTTAGATTCAGAGAGACATTCTGTTTCTTTATCTTGATACACTGTGTGTGTGTGTGTGTGTGTGTGTGTGTGTGTGTGTGTGTGTGTGTGCGTGTGTGTGTGCACGTGCGTGCCGTTTGTGTGTGCACTACCCCTATATACACACACACACACACACACACACATACACACACAGACATACAAATTGAAATAATCACAGTAAATAAATTGCAAAAAATAATTTCCATAATGTCCATATAACATTTCTCTTTCCCTCCATTTTCTTTTTTTTTTTCTTTACAGGAGAGGCAAGAAACACAGCATTATTCTTCGAACACAGCTATCAGTCAGAGTTCACGCCTGCATTGGTGAGTAATAAACTGTACGGTAAACTGTGCATTTGTCACATTTCACTTAACGGTGGTCAGTTTGTCTTCCTCAGTCTCTATCACCAGTGAGCTAAGGGCTTTAATTGCCTCTATTACCAGTGGATTATTTTAGTAAGGTCCTTGTTGAACTTGCACAGTGGCAGTTTTGGGAAACAGCCTAGAATCTTAATTTGAGTGAGAATTAACAGCATTTCAACAACACTCAAACAGAGCACTGGCACAGAGCAGAGACTGAAAACTTTTTATGAGTTACTGTGTTCTGTCACTTTGTTTTATTAGGCTTCCTGGTGTCTTTGAGTAATGTGAGGGAACTAGCACAAAGAGCTGAGTGAAAACATATGCAAACATGTATGCACGTGGCATGCGTGCAGACATACACATATACACACAACGTGCTTATCAGAGGTTGGCTTTCGATTAAACTGAGGATGCTAACAGGCTGAGCTTTTACTAAGTGCTATGTACTCAGTCAGTTTTTGGCTCAACTGCCTGTTTTAGGCTTAATTTCCCTACCGCTTTCTGCAACTGATAAATAGGTGTTAATTATTCTGTTACCTTGTTTAATCCATGTAAAATGTACGGAATGGACACAAGCTCTTGTAAAGTAATTTGCCAGAGACTTAAAGGGAATCTTAACAAAGGCCACTATGGTTGTTCAGTAGCAGGACATGGAGAAGCACACGTTCTCACACAGAGACACACGGTGCCTCCTTTACAGGCTTCAAGTGCAAAAATAACCCACAGCCTGGAAAAGCTATTAGGTTGTAAATTGTCAGATTTTAAATTTGCTCGTTTTTCTCTTGTGCAGTAGAAGTCAACCAAAGGCCCAGACATTTTTCACTTGAATGGAGTCACAGTGATCTGAGAACTATCTCTGATAGTCGTCTCTGGTTATTTATTCTACCTACTGGTGCATGACGTGTAATGGAAAGGTTTGAAAACTCCAGTGGATCTTTTATTGAGATTGTTCTGTCATGACAGCTCAACTGTTGGTGAGACACACAAGAAATGAGGTCTAGTTTGTACATGTTGATTGTGAGGAGGATTTCTCTTTGATGCTCTCAACACTATAATTATGTAACTGATACATTAAACCTATCATATGTTATATAAGCAGGTTTTTCAAACACTGCTAAATTGCTGTTGTTAATAATATTGCTGGGTGATTTTCCCTGATTTTATAACACCGGATTGCCAAAAGACATTTCCAGTTTTTGCCTGATGTAACAAGTAACGTGCTGAACATGGCCGTACTTGTGTTCACTTGGCTGGAGCTTGTCCACACACTACTCTGAACTGGCTTTACCTTATTCTCTCCTCCTGCTGGTGCTTGACTTAGCTTAGGGGAGTGGCAGACAGACTTGCTGCTCCTCTCTAAGTGGATGATGACCCTCTCTCTCTCTAAGTTGACAGCCACCTGTTGCCCTTCTCTAGTCTCCCTCAGAGACTGCCCGCGTGGCTAGTTGATTTATTTCCTCTAGGCGAGGTGGTCACTGTTACTGTAACTTGTTCAGACATTTGAGCCTAATTTTATCTGACTGGAGGGCTTACCTCGTAGCCCTATGAGTGCAGAATTACTGGGTGATTTTCCTGCTCCACACAGGAGATAATTCGTTAGTCTTTCAAAGACAAATGGCATGGTATTCTTAAGGCCTCCACTTGCTGGGTATTAAGGGGCTGAGCATTTCCCTGCTGTCAGTTCATAAAGACCAACATGTCCCTAAGAGGAGCCCCCTTATTGCCATACTCTTTTGTTTTTCTGTAATGAGAGATGTTATGCAATGAAAAAAAAAAAAAAAAAAAAAGCTGCACTCTCTCACAATAAATTGCCTTTGGAGAATAGCCAGTACAAAATGTACAGAGGCATCAGGGTGGCTTTAACACTGTGATTTTCTGGATCTCTGGAAATCTTTGAGAAAAGCTCCTTTTGTTTAAGTCCGACAAGCTTGAACTAATAGCAGCACTCTTGTGCTAGCTTCAGGTCAAAGGACACTTATACCAGTGCTGTTTGGATAAGAGTTGTTTAGTGTTGAACAAAACCTCCCATTCTAAATGTGTCCTCACTCACAGATTGAGTGCTAAATGAGCACACCCACGTTGTTGATATTTTGTTTATCCCAGAGGGCTCCTCCATGAACATGAGTGATGAGCTGGTTACAGTCGTATATGTAATCTGTGTCATTTAGCACTATTTTGTGGAAAATCCATTGCGTGTATTTCAAGTTTTAATTCAGTAGTACATAACTTTGTTTAGGTTCTCTGGCTTTTTTGGTTTCCTTCAAATTTACACACAACAGTGCTCGCCTTCAGTGTGTATGTGTGCGCCAGTGTGCATGTGTGCATGTGTCGTGAACCACAGCAAGACCTAATCCAGGCTTCCCTAATCATAGTCATTAGTCCTCACACACATATGGCTCTGCGCGGACCAGGCGGAAATCTTTGCAGCAAAGTCAGTGGAGGAAGGGAAGTGCTCGCCCAAAGAGCTAATGGTTTATTAAACTGCTTTTTACCGATCCACCTCTGGCACAGCGATTCGTTGTAATCACACAGTGAGGCAGTCCAGGCTTTTTTTTTGTTTACTTAAACTGCCTGTCAGGGACAACACAACGCTTTATCTACGGGTGTTCTGCACAGAACGTAGCCCCATTAGCTTGACCTGTTTTATAACCACTGACCTTTTAGATGAAGCCTTAATTTTGTCCAGTGTGGCTTCCAGTAAGAGCTCAAAGGGCAGAATCAGTGCTCCCAGAGGACAGATGTGATGAAATGTACATGTAAGAGATATGTGCCACTGTGTTGAGGTAACTCTATATGCATGTTATACAGTATTACACGATTAATCCTGTCAGGGAGAAAAAAAAAAAGGAAGTGTTTTTGTCACTAGATAACCAGTAGTGGTGACGGTTTGATCTTTGTTTATATTTGTTTGACCAGCACTTCAGCCTGGGATGTAGAAAATAAACTCAACTCGTCCCTCTCTGCGTGTCAGCATTGGCCACAGCCTGTTTATATTGTTGAGCTGTTATTGTTGTCGGTAGACTAGATGTGGTAGCGAGGGCCTGATTAAAGCAGCCTTGTGCTCATTTTACTGTTGTCTACAAGTACAGTAGGTCCTTTTTATATGTGCCATTTTGTTTCTGAAGTCGCCCGAGTCGCCGCGATGTGATGGTATGGAGAGTTTGAAGACAGGGAGAGAGAGAGAGAGAGAGAGAAAGAGAGAGAGAGACTACAGTTTGGGCTGCACAATGTTTAAATGGGGATACCAAGTTAAGAATTAACAAATGTCACATATGTTTTGTAATCTTCAGCAGCTTTTGCAAAGTAAAGACTCCAAGCTAGCTTTTGAAGAGTTTATACAGATGGACAGTCAGAAGCTGCTCCACTGGCAATTAATAACATTCATGCAATGCTAGACTAACATTTGATGTGGCAAGTCTATCAACTGAAATCCAGAAAATTCTCCTTTGTGCCTTGAAAATCATCCTGAACTCTGTCACTGTTCTACTCATTCAAATCATTTTATGTGGAGCCAGCAGTTACACATCACAGATTAGTGGGTGGAACAAATGTTGTTTTTTTTCTTTTTGGGGTTTTTTTGGGTTTTTTGGGTTTTTCAGGTTTTTTTTTGTTTTTTGTTTTTTTTTCAGTTTATAGCAATTAGTAATTATTCACAAATGTAAAACTCATACATTTGAAAAGCTGACATTTGTTGGTATTCCCCTTTAAGAACAGGTTCATCTGTCAACACATTGATCCCAGCTGAGGAGTGACAGCTGTAATCAGAGGTGACACATTCTTAGTGGATTATCTGACTTGTCTTTTACAACCTCTTATAATCCAGGCTCAGGGCATGATTCATTGTGACCACTGTTGACTTGTTCCTCTTTCGTGCTATAATTTTGCCAAATTGGTAGTTTTGATCGTCAGGTTGACAACTGACAACTCTGTGGTTGTTCAAATGGAAGACGATGAGCAGTAAATTCTCTACGATTATCCCTCTGCAAACCACGCAGGAAGATAAGTTTCTGGCAGTTAACAATATAACTGTGTGGAAAGATACACAGTCACAAGTGTGGGCTTTCCGATGCATGTTTATCTAATTAATGCTTAATGTTGTTATGTGCGTGTGTCTGTGTGGGATGTGAGCACATTGACTTAAGACGATAACATTACCTGCCGGGTTATTGTGGTTCCTCCGACCACAGTGTCTTTTCCACACACTCTGCCAGATCTGTACTCTGTACTAAGCCATCTGCACTTTTGTGAGCACATATAAAAACAATTGCAGTCATTATCCTACTTAATTATACCAAAGGTTATGGGCCATGTCCAGTTCTCTAGATCAGCTAAAATTAATTCAGGGAGAATATTAAAAAATCTATTCATACATACATACGTGCTTATCTGGGTAATAATAAAAATGTTACAGCTCTGTCCTTAGTCTTTGTCAGAGTATCTGCATACAGAGGATCCTCTGATTTGCACCACACTTGGAGTCACATTAAAGCAATCAGATCAAATATCTAGCCATGTTTCTGTGACCGGAGAGTGCCAAGCAAGTGGAGAATAATTAAAAACATTCATATCATGTGGCACCTGTGAGACACAGAGGAAGATCAGATGGCCTGGTCTCTCATCTCTTTGACTTCCCTCAAAGAGACCCCAAAATGGGATCATGGACTTAGAGTCACCCCAGGAGGCCAACCTAAACAACGCAGTGCCAAAGAGGAGAAATGCGAGGCAGCAAACATCTCGGGGAGAGGAAAGACAGAGGGGGGCTTGCTCTTCAAATCACAGCTGATAGCAAAACTAGATCAGTGGAAGGTTTGATGGTATCACTAACCTCACACTTTGCCTAGCTCTGTTTTTTATATATACTTAATGTTTGGGCACGAGCCCAGCAGCCCCATGCAGAGAGATATCATCATAGCTTAGGTTAATGCTTCATTTATGGGCAGACAATGTTTCCTCTCATTTTG